GATATACTAGAGTAGTAGAAGCACGAGGCTGGTATACAAAGTATTAGTTAGTAGCTAGAAGATAATAGAAAAAATCTTGTTTTAAAACAAAGTATTTCTATATCACAAAAAATTAATAGATAATATGTCTCTATCTTAATATATATTATATATCTCACTAATCTAACTATATATAGCACTTGTTAGTATATAAGATCTAAAAATAGCAGCGCGAAATATTTAGTTAGAATCTAGAAAAATTACTTCTCGAACTTTAGCATGTTTTGTAGCCGGGAATAAGCTTACTAAGCATTACGTAATATAGTCATTATAAACTACTTGATATCTAGTTTTCAATGGACTAACCCGTTTAAGTATAGGTGCTCTATAAGCTGAGTTATCATCTTTTAAAAACTATTACTTTTTTAACTACGTTTTTTTTTTGTCACCCCCCTGTAGTTTAACTAATAAAATAAGCTTTAAACTCTAAAAATAGCTCTCTATCTTTTATAAGCAGATTATAGAAAGTAGCTTAGCTCTCTATTTACTTATTACTAGTTACGAAGTATAATCTAAGTAGCTTAATTATTTCTTCTATATTCTTAAACTAGTACCCTTCTATCTTTAATAGTTACTTAGATTTAAGGTATCTCTTAGTATTACCTAATATATAGCTATATAATATAGCTATCTAGTAGTGTTCTATAGAGAAGTAGTCTAAGTTTAAGTTAAGTTAGTCTTCTACTTCTACTTACTACTAAGAAAAGGTAGAATATTTCCTATTACTTAATTAGCTAATAGAGAATAAGATAAGACGGCTTAGTTTAATACGTGGAGGCTTAGAGATAGTAGAAGTATACCTTAGTAATTAGTAGAAAGATAGTTTAGCTAATATTAGTAGAGATTTAGTAGTAAGAACTACGTTACTCCGCAGCTTAGCGTTTTCTTAGGTTAGTTAGTAGACTTAGTTAACTAAGCTAGCTATCTACCTATAGAGGTCTCTTATAGTTATTACTAGTACTAAATTAAACTTATCTTCGTCATCTTTTTATAGTAATAAAGTCTCTAGAGATTCCTAAGTTAATAGCTTACTAGCTTTCTTCTCTAAGATAGTTTAGTTCTAGAGTTAAACTAATTTCTAGAGTAGTTTCTTAGAACTACTAGGTTTTTATAGGTTAACTATTAGCGGTTATTTCTAAGATTAATAAGTTATTAGTAGTCTCTAAGTCTCTACTATAGTACACTCTATATAACTTTTACTAAAGTAATCTACCTTATAAACAGCGTAGAAGTTCTAAACCTAATGGCTTTAGCTAGTAGAAGATTAATATAATTCTGCCTAGGTAAATATTAGATATAATAGTATAAGTATCTAGATTAGTGCTAGATAACTTAAGGTTAGACGTAGTCTGAATAGACAGCTACGATATTGTTTTAAAGCCGTTACTAGCTAAGATAAGACTTTTAATATAATATATTAGCGTAGGTAAGACTACTTAGATTAGTATTAGTAGTAGCGTTACTTAGAGGTATATAGGAGTGCGTAGGACATTAAACGAGCCTTAATTTAAATAGATACCTATAGGCCTTATATAAAAAAATATTAAAAGTTTATAGAGCTAGCTATAGAGAGTATCTCCTTATATACTTATCTTAGTCGGATCCGAATTAGATCCGACCTCACAACGAGTGGTTAATAAAGAGGGCGGCGAATACTACCTCTAATCCAGCTCTAGGATTAGTCCGATACTTAGCGAAGTTATAACGTCGTTACATAGATAAGACAAAATTATTCTTAGCTTTTAAGGCGCGTTTTATTAGTGCCGCTATTAAGAGATCTATATCTAATTTAGAGTAGCTCTTCCATCTCTATAAAACTATTACTATTAGTCTACGCGTTCTTAATCTTAGATTTTAAAAATTCTAATGTAACTTATTTCAATAGATAGTTAAATATGTTACTATCTATAAAAGAGAATAGAAAAATGCTCTAATTATAGTTAATTTAGAGCGGAGAACTACTTATACTCTAATAGTAAAGCCTAAGCTAGCTATTAATTATATAAGTGAGCTCTACTCTATCTTTTATAAAGTAAGCTCTAACCCCACTCTAACTCTACATTAAGCTTACTTAAGTATACTTAGGCCTACCTCTAAGATACTAGTAATAGAATGCTAAGTTACTTCTAGTAACTACTACTACTATAGTAAGCCTAGATACTTTATAAGCGACTATATAGTCTCTTAGATCAGAGAGATAGAAGCTATCTAAGAGAAAGATACGTTTAAGAAAGTTATAGAATACTAGTTAGATAAGAACTAGATAGAAAACGGCGAAGCCTAGAAAAACACTCCGCTCTAGACATTTATAAGTATAACTCTACTAAGATTAATCTATTATACTTATCTAGAAGAATGCACTTCTAAGTTCCTACTATTCTTTATTTAAAAAGCTATAGCATTAGTCTATAGTTATTAGTTACTATTAGCGCTTAAGATTTTTTATTTTTAAATTTATAATTAATTGTATAATTTCTACTTTACTTTAGATTCTAATTTAAAGACAACTCTTTAAGATTAATGTTAAAGAGTTTTAAGATTAAGTTTAGATAAGAGTAAATTAATATATATAGTTATATTTCTCTACTCGTAGCTGTAAGATTTCCTACTACTTATTTATTTATTATTATAGATTAAGAGTTATAATATTATATTCTTAGGATTAAGTAGTTACGCTAATTCTAGCATTAATTAGACATGTTTAGAAACTAAATCATATAGCTATCAAAGTACCTAGTAACTTATACTTCTATTTTATCTATTCTAGTATAGTTAAAATAACTAGCTGTTAATACTAAGATTATAAAGAATATTAAGAGACGTAATGCTCTCTAGAGGAAGAATAACTATTAGAGAAGAAATAGTCTAACTATAGCTAGTATTTAATAAATCTATAGCCTTCTTTAACTCTCTAAAGTCTATTCTCTATCTTCTATATCTAACTCTACTCTAAATTCTATCTAATCTCTACCCTATTTCTAATTTTTACTCTATATCTCTTCTATTTTAGCTAACGCCTTCCACTATACTATATAACGTAAGAAAGATAAGTTCTTTATAATCTATATCTAACGTATTCTACTATTAAGAGTGCTATCTATTTAAGTGTACTACTTTTTCTTAGTATCGCGAACTTAATATACGAAAGATAAAGCCTTAATAATAGAATATAATATTAACTTAGTAACAAGGTAGACTTACTCTAGCTATTTAGGCATATTATATAAGTTAGTTTAAGAGTATTTAACGCGCTATAGTTGTTATGGGCGGAGAGGCCTAGCGAATAAGTATGCTTCTACCTATCGTACAGAAGCTAAAAGATAAGAAAAAGAGAAGATAACTAAGTATAGACTTCTCTTATACCTGCTCGCTTCTAATTACGTATCTGTATAGAAGGTATATTACGTGGTCGAAGATTACGTAATCCTCTTTAGTAGAGATTATAGGCGCAGCCCTTTATAATACTCCTCTCCTTTACTTATATGGATATATTTACGTTTATTTATTTTCTTAGAAGTACGCAGCTGCCTAACTTACGGTAGAGCAGCGGCGTTTGTTTGCTCTAGTAAAGGAGGATTTCTACGAGAGTAAACGCTCCCTTCGTACGATATATAGAGCTGCCGTCTCTCTCTTTTAGCTTTTTCTTCCTTTATATTAAATTAATTTAACTCTACTACTATATAGATTTCTTCTTTTCTTTCTAACTATACTCGTACGATGCCGCTGAAAGCGTAACCACTCTCTTGCGGTGTTTAAGCTAACATAAATACTAATAGTTTATAGTTTTGCACTAATAGTAGCCCTAATAATACTATTAATAACGTAGCTAACTAAATCTTTAATACTGTCTACTAGGCTCTAACTCGTACGACGCTAGGCGCTATACTACTAACTTTTAATATGCTAGGCGCTGTTAATCTAAATAAGTATTATATCTAGTTGATCTTTAATTAGCGTATTATAGATAAGCTGCGCTATTTTTATATAGTTACCTTTATATATAATACTTTTCTAACTTCTTATACGGCTGGTGTTAACTTACGTAGAAGAATATTCGCCGTATTTTTAACTACTTCTATTACTCTTACAGTAATAGTCCGTATAATACTATCTTTAGTCTAGGCTCTTACGACTACTCGCCTATAATCGCACGTACGACTATTACTACTTAGTAGATTCTTACTAGCTATCTATCTTATCTTAAGGCCTTTATTATGTATAGCCGCGGCGCTCTTAACGCGGCTTTTTATATAAATAATTGCGCCGCTATTCTATAAGGCGAGAAGAAGTTTACTATATTCGCTAGCTGCGTATCTATTACTAGTAAGTAGAGTAGAGCCTACTCTAACTACGTCTAGCAAGACTATAGAGCTTATTATAGTATTACTTAGTAGGTAGTCTCTTATATAGGAGGTAGGCGTAAGAGGCTCTCTAATAGTTCTAGTAGTAGTAACTAGCGTAGTCGTCTAGCTGTGGGTGGTACTAAGAACTCTCTACTCGTAGAGTAGGTGGGCCTACCTTCGCTAGTTTCTTCTAAGTCGTCCGTTAGGTTATTATCTAGATTAGGTGTAGGATAACTATAACTATAGGGCTGTAGTGTTAGTAAGATAGGCGGTAGGCTTCTATATAGGCTCGTCGTAGCTTATCTAATAAATAAGGTTGTAAGGGGCTGCGCTCTGGGGAGCAATCGCGAGGTATACAAGAGGTTGTATTCGATGAGGAGCTAAGCTCCCAAGCTACGTAGCTGTCTATATACAAGCTGGTTACCCGAGTAACAATCGGACCGGTGAAGTCTAGGTGCACGAGGCAGCTTCTGGGTCCTGCGGCTGTCGTCTGAACGTCGTTCGGGCGGTGCGCAGAGAATCCGGGTGCTCGAGACAGCACCCGGGTTCTGCGAGTAGGCCGAGATTCCATCGAGGAGCTATCCAAAGGGCGTTCAGCCCGTTACAATACCCCCCTCCTTAGGGTGATACCGCATCGCCTCTCCGAAACCCTTCCGGGAGGCGGCCCTCGCTGTCTCGTTTGGTCTCTGTGAACGCTTCCCAACGATCTACTGCCTCAGCGTCCTCTAGTAGCTCCGCTGGTTCGAGCGTCGTTCGGTGGAACCCTTTCCACTTCACCTCGTAGTATAGCTTACGCCCTCTCCTACGGCGGCGTACCTCTTCTGCTATAATGTCCTCTACCT